ATTATCCTTAACAATCTGACAGAATATTGCAACAGAATGAAGGCAATAACAATGGCTATGAAGTCATTAGCTGAAATAATGAAACTAATCTCTGATTAATATTTTCTGATTCAGAAAATAAAATAAACAAGTGTTGCTAATCTGACTGATTTTAACATTAAATGCTTGTTTAGATATGGAATAAATTAATAAGCCTGCAGTGTGCTACTACAATGTTCTATTGTATAAATCAATAATTGGTCCATATTGTGTATTATTTACATCCTATCATCCGTCATTTCTAAGAACTGTGCATAGACATCTCTACTGCACTCTCCTTTGCTGTTGAAAACAAATTTGTAGTAACTACCATCGGCACATATAGCTGTGGAAAAAAAAAAATGTTACAATCAGATCAGATTTCACTATATAATATTTTGTATCACAAGGGCTTCTTATTACTGTATTTGGTCAATTACAAATGCATCGTACATATAAGTGTGTGTAAATAAACAATTATTTTACACTGGATCATTCAAATAGGACTTATTAGGTTTACACTTTGTTTCTTATGGCATGGATATTATGTATATCAATATCACAAAATTTTGCACGGTGACATGTGGTGAAAAAAAAAGATACAGTGTCTTATAAGATTCTTTTTGATGTCTAGAAGTATTAAGAAGTATTCTTAGTGGGTTTTTAACAAATGACATTTTATGGATATTATTTGAGCGTTTGAACTGACAGTTTACATACTGTTGACTACCTAATACAAAACAATTAATTGTAGAAAGATTTTGACACAAAATATTGTCGCTGTTATATACACACAGAAAAGATTTACGTAAATCAGAAATTAGAGTATTTACATTGAAAAAGGAGACAATACTACATATAAGCACAGGTCAACCGATGCGATTGATGGTATTTTGTCTAATGCCTGATGTTTAATATTTAATATGTTTAATTCTGCTTCCCAGACCCCCAATATTAGAGGGGGACTCTCATTTTGAAACAAAAATATATTGTAAAACCCCCCCCCCCCCCCGAGTTTTCTCATTACTCGCAACACTTGATCACCTGAGATGTAAGGTGACGCACACATCAAGAAATGTCACATTTTACAACATGTTTTTTTTTTCTTGGCAATAATGATATCTGTGCTATGTTTTGCATAAAAGCACAAGCTCAAAATATACAAATTTAAATGTTCTTTTCTAGGGTTGATCAATCGTACAAGAAAACCAGCTTTGTTGATGCCAGGCGTGGATGTGAAAACAGTTGATTGTACAATGTTGAGACAAAAAAAGTGAAGGGTGAAGGTGAAGTTTCAGTTCTGATGATCTCCAAAAATATAACCCATTATCCAACACATTATTACCCAGGGCAATCTTTTTTATAAATATGGTATAATCGATGGCAAGATACAGCAATAAAGCATGGACTCACCAACTACAGAACTCGCATCAGCACCAAATGCACAGATGCAATGTGACCCACTTGGAACTTGAAATCTGGAAAAACTCCACTTAGAGCTGAAGTATTTTGGAAGAAAACTTGCAGAAGCAAGGCTGTAGAAAAAAGATAAATTTTATTGTATTTTTACTGTACTCACAGGGCTTAATTTTCTGACCTGTTATATTACAGTTATATCTGTTCAGTTAGAGAAATGAGATTTCACATAAATGATAAAGAATTGCATTTATATAGGTTATTGAAATGAGGGATGATCTCAAATCACAGAAACAACAAATGTATTAATTTTTTCTTTTCAAGGTGACACTGAAAGAAAATTGATATAGTGTGAAATTAGAATACCTATGATGTATTTCCATGTTGCAGATGATTCACAATTAATAATATTTGTAGACAAACAACAGAATCGAATATTTCCATATGTGACTGATGATGATATGTTAAAACAATTTGTGAGCAAATTGCATGAATTTTAATATTAATTTTGAAATATTTTTTTCAGCAGATCCGATCAAATCTCAAGCATGTCATGGAATAGGTCATGGGTATCAAGTCATATATACCAATAAACATGTGTTACAAAAAAATAAACATGTTTAGAAGAAGACGAACAGTAATAACATGATGTGGCATATAAACTATTAGTTTTACCTGGACTGTTTATTCTTTTTAGGATCTTCAATGGCAAATATATGAACTGTACCATGGTCACTGGAAACGCATAGCAGCGAAGAGTCTTGGTTGAAATTGATACTGCAATGTGGCGTAATGGAGAGTAATCAGAAACCTTAAAGAATTGGCGTAGGATGGACAACTTCATTACAATAATCTTCAAACATGTAATATATGTTTTTAGTTATCTTTTACAAACTGTATGTATTTAGCAATAATTGGATAGGAAGCTCCTAGAATAGTCTTAAAAAAAAGAAACTGACAATGACACAAGAAGAAGCTCTAATAAGCTTGTACAGATGTTTTCATGGTATTGAATCCAATGCAAGAAGAATTGTATGAGAATCTGACAAGTAATGTCATCATTTTCTAGTGAACTATCTAAGTATGCTTAACTACATTATACACTGTATTACCAAATTCATTATTCAGGTCCTTACCAAAATATAGAAAAATGCCCTGCACACTTTTTACGTGTTACCCAGTTATTGTTTCTGTATTGTGTCACTTCTTCCACATGAGATGATTTTCAATTTTGTAAGTTATTAGATTTGCCATATCTTCACAACATTATATTTTGAAACATCCAACAAAATTAGAGTCATTTTCACAAATATCCATGCAAACTTTTACAGATTTGTATTCAAAATGGCCATTTTCAACCTAATGCTAGCCATATGGGAATAATAAACAAAATATAAAGAAATGTGGTCGGTGACCCGTTTTTATCATTTTCAAACCAGACAGAGTTTAATATAAGGTTAATCGTTATTGTCAAGAAATGAGATATAAGAAACAGATGTCATTGCTGTTGTACTGTGATTTTAGTAAATAAGGAGTGGAACAAATTCAGTTACTGTAAAATACTTTATTTTAGCTGGATTTAATTTTCCCTGAAAAGACTTTTTGTGTGTTTTTCATGGAATTTAATTTTACTGATTTTTGACAAGTTGGATGTAAAATCACTGGATTTTATTTTCACTGAACCTCTCCTTCAGCGAAAATAGCAAAAATTAATTCCAAGCGAAAATCAAAGAAAGCTTAGAAAGAACTCCCGTGTGCTGAAAGTATTGGAGACACAAAATTACTTGAACATGAGATATTGATGAAAATGCAGAAAACTAATTATGCAAATAAGGTAACTAATATGAACAGATTTAAGTGTAAAACTAATAAGGTCTGCACAATGTACCAAGTTTCATTGAAATATGATTAGAACCAAAAAATTATTAACTATTATGCTAAATAGAAAATTAATATGAACAGATTTTAACCCAAAATTAGGAACGACGTCAAACGATCGAAACTTATTTGCTTTAGTTTAGGGGTGGGGGGTTTTGACCTCAAAAAGTTTCTATCCTACAAAAACGATTTTATTATTTTTTAATGAAGTCAAAAAAATATTGGAGTATTTGTAATTCGTTTTTTTCTCTATCCAATCATGGACAAAAATGAAAAAAAAAACATCCAAGACGAGAAAATGGTTTGGTCCGAGTGTAAAGTCTTTTTACACCCACCCGACAACCAACTGCTACGCCATACTACTGTCAGATTATCAATTTGTATTTAATGGTGAATGTAGTCTGACGCCATGGTAAATATTTATCAATTAAGTTTCAGTGGGGGGTTTGGAAAAAAACTAAAGGAATTATGTTTTTTATCCTACATTGAACTTTTGATGTTGTCCCTTAATAAGGTAGTCTATTGTCCTAGACCATTTATGTACCAAGTTTTATTCAAATGTGATGATCAATACTTGAGATATACAGTATTAATTAATTATGTTAATTAGGTGATTAAGAAGCATAAATATTTACCAAAAACTAATATGGTGTATAGTCCTAGGTTCATTGAAATGTGACAGGTACTCTTGAAAAGTTTCGTTGAAATCCAATGAGTGGTTCTTTAGAAATTAGTGCAACAGCCATAGAACAGCAAAAAATTAACTAATTGTGCAAATTAGGTAATTAATATGCACAATTATTTATCCCAAAATTAATCAGGTCTCTGCATAGTCCTAGAAGATCTATGTCGCAAGTCTCCTTTGAAATGGATGATTAGTACTTGAGATATCAGGTGAAAAGCTGAAAATTAACTAATTATGCTAATAAGGTGATTAATCTGCACAAATATTTACCCCAAAACTAATTAAGTCTTTGCACAGTCCTCAAGTAACTATGTACCAAGTTTCATTGAAGCGTGATCATTACTACCGAAATATCAAAAGCTGACAATTAATTAATTATGCAAATTAGTTAATTAATATGTACCGATATTACCCTAAAAATAATCAGGTCTGTGCAGTGTCATATGACATCTATGTACCAAGTTTTTATTGAAATGTTATAATTAGTACTCGAGAAAAGCCGAAAATTGATTAATCATTATGCAAATTAGGTAATTAATATATACAGATTTTTACCCCAAATTAATCAAATCTGCGCATTAGTTCAGAGCATCCATGTGCCAAGTTTCATCAAAATCCAATGAGTGATTCTTCAAATATCAGTGGAAAAGTCATAGAACAGCTTAAAATCAGTTAATTATCATGCAAATTAGGTAATTAATATTCATGGTTTTTACCAAAACCTAATCAACTCTGCGCATTATCCCAGAGCATCTATGTACCAAGTTTCACTAAAATTTGATTAGTGGTTCTTGAGATAATGGTGGAACAAAAAAAGTGACATACATACATACATACAGACATACAGACAGGGCAACTGCAAAGACTCCCTTTTGTGCTTCGCACACGGGAGTCAAAAACTAATGAATTTACATAAACATATCAATGGCAACCAAGATATTACATTTATTATAAAGCTGTAGAAGGAATATCTAGCAATTATTCATGGCTTGTCTAATCTTACCTTTATTCCATGCTCTGAATAGAAGTCAGCTGTACCAATACTAGCATACAACCGATACCCTAGATTCTCCAGCGTTCTTACAGACGGCAGTAATTCACTCTTAGCCTGGACAAAAAATAATAATAGTCGCATATTCCGGGTCAGTATGTCATGTATATTACAGGAAATTTTAAGAATTTGGGAGCTTAAGGTTTGGGTACTAGCAGTAACAAGACTTGAAATGAAGCAAAATTTTAATTTGGTCTTTGGATATCTACTGAAATTTAGTTTACTACATGTAGCAATTTAAATTATTTCCATGGCGACACATTTCACACAGACCCAACGCCTTAAACTGTAAAAAAAACACTTTATTTTCACTGATTCATCTATTGAGAAAATACATTTCAAAATGGGAGAAAAAAAGTACAGTACTGTAAAATGACTAATTTTCATTGGGTTTAAATTTCGCTGAATCACCATTTCAGGCATATTTAAATTAACTGTTTTATCATTTCGATAATTTCGCATTTTTCAGTCAGCGAAATAAGCAAAATAAAAAACCCAGTGAATAATTAAACCTTTTACAGTACTTATTAATATCACGAACATGTTGCTAATTTTTCATGAATGCTAGAGGGAATACAGAAAACATTCTGGTGAAAATTCCAATGGAGTCTTCAATTGGTCAACTGTCATGATATTTTGTCGCCA